CAGATACTTGCAAACCCAGCTATGGAACTAAGATCCCGAGTCCCCTTAGTACCCACATGACACCAGACCGAAAGGCATGCCTCGCCGCGATGGTTTTGTCCGGTGTGATATTGCCCCCACGTTGTCCTGTGCTGCTTGTAGGGAAGACCAAAGAATATGTTGCACATCCGAAGACCAGGCCCACCCTCTTCCAGAAGCAAAGCATCGCCATCAAGCTATTAGCCACGTGAGCTCCAGACTTGTGCAATGAAAACAGAGCATCCGCTACATAGACCTGCTTCATGGCTGCAAGATTAACGCCCAAATCTAGCAAGGCACCCAGGAATTTCAGCAAATAGGCCAGGTAGCAGATCAAAGTATTTTGGAACACTGTTTTCAGCAAGTTGCTCAGGATTGTATCGGCATGTTTGGAGGCTCCAAGCTGGCTCCTGTAGCAGTGTAGCATTGAAGACAACGGCACAAGAAGAGGCTGAATCATCACCTACAATGCCAAGCACTTCTGCCATACCGCTGCGCGCAACATCTGAGATGAACGAAAGCCCTTGGGGCTGCGGCTGCGGCTCCCTTGCAGCTCCAGAAATTTATTCCCAAGCCCTGTGCCACCTTGCCCTGAATCTGTTGCACAGAAGGCCGGGGTCTAAAGCAATCAGCCGCTCTTCGAGGAGCCGCAACCGCAGCAGGAGCATCCGACAACCCACCCGAAACACCACTTGGTTTAGGGACCGTAGGACCCACTGGCATCGCCGTAACCAATGAACAATTGGGCCATTGGGCCGCCTGTCCGGATCCGAAAGCCGCCGGGGCACCTGCCATCCTGAAGTCGGTGGCCTCGCCACCAACGACATAGGCAAAAGAATAGCTGAACCCGGCCCTCGAGAGCCCGACCCCGAAGCCATTGTCCCCTCTGCGCACGTGTGCAATGAGCCCTAAAGATTGATGGACTGCCTCAGTCCAGCTCGTTAAGACGCTGTGAATCGGTCTCCTCCGCACGCCCCTCCAAAGCACGAAGCCGACACTCCAACCATTGGATAGCCAGACGGACAGCACGAGCCAACTCAGCAGATCTGTCCAATCGTTCGTGCAGTTGAGCCAATGGGCCAATGCCTCAACCAGATCCCTCTCAATGATTTCTATGCGATAAGACCAGTGCCGCTCAAGACCAGACAACCCCTCAGCTGTGAACCGACTAGGATTGTTAGCAGACGACCGCAAAGTCAACCGGAGCAAGTCGAGCATGTGTCCTTCAAGCCGAAGAGCTTCACGACGACGAAAAGCGACTCTGCGGACCACGCGAAAGACCTTCTCCAAGTTCGTACGCATGGCCGCTTCAATGGACTGCTCCCATGAAGCCCGAGCCCCCACGGCGAAGATGAATGTCCACCCCCACAATGGCCCAGGAATCGAAGACACCATCCTTGTCACATGTAGCAGCAGCTTCATTGCAGAAATGTGAAAGCGACTGCTGTCCATCCATTGAAGCTTTGCACACGCTGAAAAACGCCCTTTCAAAAGACACGAGCGCTGCCAGACATAGCCGAACTCCGGCGGCCACAGCGCCTGCCATCTGAACCAGCTTTACTGTGGACTGCAAGTCCGGCCGCCATCTCCAATCCCGGAGAGCGCCCCAAGGCCTCAGCCGTGGCCACACCCCTAGAAGGAAGCTCCACTCTTCCTCACTGACGGTACTCTCCCCCTGGTGAGCCGATCCGCCCGAGGCCAAAGAGTGCGCCGCTCCAGAAGTTGAGGGTCCACCGGCCACGGCTGCGGGTGACAGCTCGTCGTCACTGGGGCCGCAGGGATCAAAGCGTGCGCTCAGCATGGCAGCCGCAAAACTACCACAGGCTCCTTCTTATGCAAAGCTGCGATGCCAAACCCAAAAACCTCCAGCCAAGCTCTAAAGAAGCGATATGCGTTTTGAACACCCAACTATCCAAGTTACAAAAGAAAAGCCGCACAGCAGAGCCCGCTGGTCGTTGCAGAGAAGTGCAGTTAGCACATGTTGCAACTCATGAAATACCGGCATGTTCGAGCAAAATGGAGGGACTACAAAATTGCCCACAAAACCGGTCCAAAACGAACAAAGCAAAAGCGGATATGTTATTCAAACAGAATCGACTAAAAACCATGGCCAGCATACACGCATACCCTCGCATCTTTAATTGCGAACTGTATCTTGGTATGGCACTCACATGCCCTGTGGCGCGGAGAGACCCGCACACACATACTCTACATCCGTTGCTAGTTGCTTCTGCAGACACTCGAACGGCTACATATACAGCACATATGTTATACTTATACCCTATAATGTGTGTATAAAGTATAAAGTTCGATATAGATGTATATGAACACACTCAACATATGTTTACGTACACCTACATGCATCCATAGGTCCTGGCATGCATGCGCATTCATACACGCATACAGAGATATGTTGCATACATACAGATCTTCACATATTTTGTTGTCCTTTGTCCTTTGATTTTGTTTCTATGACTGCTTTGCGAATCTTCCAAACTCGTCTCGGTCGGCCTCGCTGGCAGGCGCGCATGGAAGCATTGAAGACTACCACGTCGACCTCTACACTGCGGCTCCTCCTGCAAAGCAAGAAGCGGATTGCTGATGTTAAAGGGCTCCTTCTGAAGAAGCTCCTGAAGCCACCATCTCCAACGGGGCCCAAGTTTCGAACAGCAGTCACGTATCCTATGATGTAAACTCCTGGCAAAGCTCGTCCTTTGAAAGAAACCTGACTATAAAATGCTCATATAGCATTGCCCACGTTGTGTGCTGTGAGACCCTGGCTTTCCTTCCTAATGAAAGAAATTGAAAAAGATCAGACTATCAAAAAAAGACTCCGGGCGCAGGATACTTTTGTCCGACCAGGGAAACTAGGGTTCTACGCCGCCACCCCATGGGCTTCCGATCTGCAGGAGGACCTTCTCACCCAACGCTAAGCCTTGAGCCTTGAGCACTAAGCCCACTTCGTTCACTTGAAGGGCTGGGCTCCCACATCTGTGGCAGTTTCTATGAAGAAAGGACGATTGTGAGACGTGTGAGGCCTAAGAAAGACAGTTGGCGGTTGTGGGGCTTCTTCAAGTCCGCATCAATCCTAAACGAATGTGTTGGGGGTGAGGAGGTTTTCGCGAGCCCAGACTTAGCTTCTGACTGCAGGAACAATCAGTCTTGCCAAGCCACAGCGATCTCACGTACTCCCAGGCCTGCTGCCACTGGCCTCGGCTCGCTGGCTCGTCTTGTCGCATAGGTCTTGTCGGATCTGCAATGGTTCTACAGTTCTACCTATAATACATCCCCACGCTACGCTCCCGGTCCCTGCTGCTGACAATGAGAACGACGACGACCAACACGGTGCCAACACCGATAGAACTGCAGAACCACCATTGTCAGGGCCGCAGTCATAAAGGCTTCTGTTGCTATTGCAGTCGTCATGCTGGCTGCAACCTTTGTCGCGAATGTTCCTATTACCGATGACGGTATCAAGCAGCACAGCTCTCTGGCACGAAATGCCGACGAAAGGCTTCGCAGGCCCAAGCCATTCAGTGCATCCTTGTGCGGACGTAGCAGGTCCCATTGGCCTTGCATCACACATAGACTCGCTCGGATTGGCTGAAGCGACCAGGTCGCACCATGCTCACCATGGACAGAATTGGGCAAGTCACGCTTCAGCTGCAGCCATCCACCGTCCTTCCTGTGACATCAAATATTGACAACTGCTGTCTTCGTATGGTTACAAGATCCCCCAGGAGCCAAAGGCCTGAATCCTGATTATTGATTAATAGTGTTCCAAAAAGCATTCCGAATGTGTTCCAGAAAAGCGTGGGGAATAGTGTTCCAGATTCGAAAGTGTTCCGAAAAGCATTCCGAGAGAGCACCCTTGAATCTGAAAGCTTCCGGCTGGAAGCACATCTTGGAACACTTTTTGGAATACTTTTTCAGCAGCAGGTCATTGGCGGAACGCTTTTTTGAGAACACTTTTTGGAATGCTTTTTGGAATGCCTTTTCGGGGGCCCGTCCTCTGCAGATCCAGGTCACAAGCATTCCAAAAAGCGTTCCAAAAAAGTGTTCCGGAAAGTGTTCTGCAAAGCGCTCCGTTGGAATGCTTTTTGGAACACTTTTTGGTCAGAGGGTTCCCGTGGAACGCATTTTGGAATACTTCTCAGCTCTGCATCAAAATCAGAATGCTTTCCGCACGTTTTTCAGGAATGCTTCTGGAATTCTTTCGGAACACTATAAAAACCGATCTACCCCTCCCTTTCTTTAGCCCTCGGGATCTTGTAATCGTATGGTTACGTAGCATGCAACGAAAGCAAGCTTCGAGATGCGGCAGGCATCAGTCTCGCAGTCACAACAACTCCGCAAGAAAGACGCCCACATAAAATTCATGCCGGCTCGAAACAACCGCTTCTCCTAAGTGGCCTGCTCCCTGCAGATCCTACAGCAAAGGACCGACCAAGGGCCTGCAACACACATCCATCCCACTCACGTCGCAGAGTCGCAGCGGATCCGGAGCAGGGTCTCCGAGCAAGATCCACAGCGGACATGGCTGGCGACTTGGACGTCATGGCCCCTCTTCAAGTGCCCGAGACTGCGAGACAATCCCCTCGTAAACACTTGCAAAGGAATAGCTTGGGACAGACTCTACATCGTTCCGAGATGCTCGAGCCCAATCCCGGGTTTCAAACCTTGGACGATACAACTTGCAACGAAAAGTCATGCAGATTCATGTTATGCATGCTAGCCTGAGCATGCTGCACACTTTTTTGTCTGCAGCCGTCCCCTGTCGGTGCAGCTTAATTCTTTGTATATCCGCACACAAGCAAAGCACAGCGGCTACAGCTACAGTATACTGAGTACATACAGTACACATCAACAATCACATGACTGCATCGGACATGATTGTGACAGCCGGCAAAACCCCTTTGCCGAGGTGGGTGACACGGACCCATTCCCCACGGCCCCAACATGATCAAAGGGTCCAGCAAGACTCAGGAGAGTCCCTGGCGCAGTACAGAGAGGCGGCTGCGCGCTCGCCTGCGGCATCACTTCTTTACAAGTCTCATCGGGTGCCCAGGTCAAGGCACGTCTTTAATCCACTGCATTGTGTGAGATGCCGGCTCGGCCTCAGCAAGGAGCTCGGAGTGTCTTGCACCTGAAATTGAAAGCATCCAGTCTCTCATTGAGGGCTCACGGGCTTGTTGCCCTGGCAGCATGATGCAACCTAGGTTGTCCTTGCCCTCCCCCTCCCTCGGCCTCTGCAGGGCTGCTTTGGCCCTCCTGCTTCTGAAAACTGTCCGGCTGCTTCGAGGGTGGCGTCCGGAGTACTTGTGGCTCGAAAAGGTTTTGACTTTGGATGTCCTCCAAGAGAGAGTCCAAGCGACCCTGTTGCTCTTCCAGCTGTCTCATGCACGAGGCTTGCGGCTGTTGTGGCTGTGGCTGTGGCTGTGGCTGTTGAGGCTGTGGCCGGACCAGATCGCTTTTGGCATTGGCTCTCTTTGTCACTTTGGCCTCACCCACCAGCTTTGGCACGTCTCGACACAGCGCCTCGATGCGCCCCTTCACGGTCTGGGCAATCTCCTCTGCCAGGGCGCGCCGCGGCGAGTCGTCATTGAAATCAAGCCGCTTGCTTGTGCCAGTTGCTGCTGGGGCTGTTGGAGCTGCAGCACTAGTTGCAGCTGCGGGCAGTTCCGACTTCGCTCTCCTGGAACTTTGAGCGGCTTGTGCTTCTTTCCACAATGAGCGGAGTGGTACATCTTCCGGGACTCGAACCTGGCCGACTTTCCATGCAAAAGGAGAACTTGCCCGACATGCTGGAGTCCAGGGGCGTGACTCTGCAAACTCCACTGCAACAATAGATCCTCTCGCTCTTCTACATCGGATTCAGAACAAGACAAGGTGTCCACCAAGTGTTGGGGGCAGATGCACATGCGTTGGTCGTGGTGGTGGTGGTGGTGGTGGTGGTGGTGGTGGTGGTGGTGGTGGTGGTGGCGGCGGTGGTGGTGGTGGCGGCTTCTGTGCAGATTTTCTGAGCTCCTGACAGGTAGTTTCGTCTCTCTATCGACGGAGCACCTGCCTCCCATGACAGCTTGAACTCAGATACAACTTGCTGGGCTTCTTCTGAGGCGGTGTATGGTGCCACCGTGCGGGTCAAGAACCCTCTATAGCCCAGCATCTTCCAAAGCGAAAACAAGCTGTTCTGAAGCGTGGTAGCAGGGGAGCGCCTCGGCACGCCAACAGCTGCTCAAGCTTGTCCACGCGAGCATCGATGCTGGGAATGCCTTTCAGGTCGACGTTCGGAGTCGAGCAACCAGGATAAAGTAACCACGGGACAGAGTACTGCCAACGCTGGGCCAGCCTGGATGAAGGCTCGGATCATCTGCTGCACTACCCGAGTTGGAAGCAGAGGACAAACTCCTCAGCTTGATCTCCAACGATGTTCTATGCTCTGAAGATCTTAATAAAGTTGAAGAGGGGCGTACGTTGCCCAAACCAAAGCTGTTGCCAGGGGACAGTGTAGCACAAACGAGCTGTCTGTGTCTCTGTCCGTGCGTTTGAGTGCATGAAAAATCCCCTTCTGCCGATGGCTTCCGGCGTCACCAGATGTGGTCCCTTCCATGCACCTTTTGCAGTAGAGAACTTCCGTAAAACACGACTCCTTCCGGCGGGAATGTATTTGTTGTCCTTCCCCGGAGCAACCGCCTTTCACGGCCCTTCCACCCTTCTGCTTGCACAGCCCCCCCAACAGATTTCCCATGTCAAATTGAAGGTTTTTTGTACTGCTCTTAGCTTCCCTTCCGTCAACTTGAAAGAGATCTGCTCAAAAGTGGCCTGGCTACTCGGAGCGACTACCAGCGCCAGTCACATTTTGACCTTACAGCTGCCCTGTCACACAAAGTCAAGCCAAACGGGGCCCTTGCTCTAGGTTTGGCGAAGAAGTCAAACTCTCGGGGTACCTGGATGCACTTGAGGTATTTCAGCGTGCTCCAGTCGTGATTCTTCAAGTGCCAATGCAGGTACCGAACCTGAAGGTTTCCGATCTTTCCATGCCGGGGGCACGTGGCTTCGGAGGGCCAGTCTTGTGGCAAGGGCCCTTGGTGCAGGGCATCACGTCCTGGCACCCATCAAGGATTCCCAGGCCGCGTCACAAGCAGTTTCGAGCTTCGGTCCTCCATGGCGCAGCTTCTCCAAGCAAGCCGTCAGCTCTTGCTCCTGCTGACGCAGCAGAAGCACCGTCTGCTCCGCCATGTTCCCAAGCTTCGCAGATCCCTCTGGATCCCTGGCTCTGGCTGACTCCAGGAAGCTTGTCGTCGGCCTTTGTCCGTCAGCATGTAAGGGCGCCGGCCCCTGCAAGCGAGGCTTCGACTGCGCCGGATCTGGGCTTCTCTCAGAGCCAGCCGATGCAGTGCCCTGAAGCCCGCTCGTGTTCAGGTGACTCTTCAAGGTCTCGACCAGAGTAAGGATCAAGGTCTGTGCACTTCTGTTCTCAGGCTCCGCAGAAAGACCCAGCTGCTGCCGGACATGCCCCAGCCAAGCTGCAGACTCTGCCCTGAAGCGGCCGGCAGACTGACGAAGGCTGGCACACAAAGCTCCCAGGTCATCGGGGACATCTGCCGAAGCATCCAGACCCTTCAGAGACTGACCCAGAAGGTGCATGATCTCGGACTCACACGCTGCTGCATCGAAGCGGGACTTCGTTGTGCTGAGGTCCGGCTTTGGCTCGGGTTGTTGGGAAAGGCGTCGCAGTTGAGTGGCCATCTGTGCCTTCAGTTGCAGGCGTCCCGACAGTTTGGCACACTGAGCCTCCTCAGCCTCCAGCTCTGATCGGAGCTTTGCGTGCTCCGACTGGGCTGCCGCGAGCTCCTTCTCCTGCTCTGGCAACAGCCTTAGCAGCCTGGCCTCCTCTTGAGAAAGCATCGCCAGCGCATCGCGATGCTCGTCCGCTCGCTTTTGGATTTGGCAGCGCGACTGCTCAATGTCATGCAGCAACTGGCACTCCTGGAGCAAAGCTTCCTGCAGCGCATCTTGCCGTTTCGGAGAAGCCTCTGGGCGACCCGATATTGCAGCAACCACGGGCTCTTCAGTTCTCTGAGCGATGCGAGTCCGACTCTTGCGGACTGGCCGTTCTTGCACTGGTTCGGCTTCCACAAAGACTCGCAGACGCCGGGCGTCACAGTCATGTGAATAAGCCCCATCAGAGACTGCGAAGGGATCGCCCATACATTCTGCCGATCTCTTTGCATCGCAGTGCCACGTTCCTTCCAGATTCGAGCCGATCATCTGGTTCACGTGCTTGCTCTTGTCTCTCTCTGCAAGAATGCTCAGGCGCCGCTCAGTACGTGGCACCTTGCGCAGGCAAACCAACAGCCTAGCACTGTTCTACAGCCTCTAGTGACACCGTCTCCAGATCTCGAGACTACGCTGCCCCTGGCCTCTTTCCACGTATGGCTTCCTTTCTCAGGTCCTTCTGGAGCCATGTTCTCCTGCGGACCGGACGCCGCACTTTCTGGGTCACTCTGCACATTGGCCGATGCAATGCGAAAAAACAGTGCAGCCGAGAACATTACCAACCGTGCAGGAAGGCCCGAAATGCACTGAAACGCTTCTCGTTTAGATCTGAACCCACGGATTTCTGAAAGCTCCGAAGATCCAGCATGTAGTCACACCAGAATGCAGCCCCTGATCTCCGTACCCAACACGAAAGAGCTTCTTGTAGAATGTGCTTTCATGTATCTAGCATAGGAAAGTGTAAGAAGTTCATGCTCAAATGACAAGTGCCGAATCTATGATTGTGAAAGCAGCCCGCTCTCAATACAAAGCACATCCGGTTCAATCTAGTCCTGCATTCTTTTCAGAAAACGAAATCTAATCTGCTGCAACAAAGCCTTGCCGTTGAAGCCGCATGCGGCATGTACATCCGGTGAATGACCTTTCGAGGGCCATTCGGACTTCATCCAAGTCCGTGAGTCCGAAACCGTAATTTTCATGGACAGACACCCTTGTCGACCACGTCTGTTGCGCTCTTTTGCACAGCCTGCTTGTCCACCACCATGTTGCAGGGCTCTTGTGAAGTCCTCGGCTGCCTCGCAAGATGGGAATGGAGATCCGGGCGTGCGCATGCGCGCTGTGCACGTGTGCATGCATAAGTCAATGCAAAATCATGCAATGCATGTAGGCATGTATCATTTTTGTCAGCTCGTGTCTGCTCCATGTATGTGTGCATGATTGTGCATGACGCATGTATGTATGCATGCACGTTGTGTCTTCATGCGATTACGGATGGATGGATGGATGGATGGATGGCTGGCTGGCTGGCTGGCTGGCTGGCTGGGTGGGTGGATGGATGGCTGGCTGGCTGGCTGGCTGGCTGGCTGGGTGGGTGGGTGGGTGGATGGATGGATGGATGGATGGATGGATGGATGCATTGCAGCTGCAATTGGAGTGGACAACGGACGTGACAGAGTGAGAGCGACAATTCGAGAAAGGGATGAAACAGCCAGGCCTGCCGAGGTCGAGACAGACCGCCAGATAGATAGATGGATGGATTTGTATGTGGATACTTGGACAGATAGATGGGTAGCTACACTGTGAATTAGGTAGATAGGACGGACGATAAGCATGGACAGCTGAAAGTCGGTCCATAGATGTGTAAGAGGAAGTACTTGGCAGGAACTGAATGATGGCCTCATCATATCAATCAGCCCTTCTTCCGGGAAAGGTCGCAAACTGATTCTTTCAACTTTCCCCCCAAGATTCTTCCAAATGTCACCAGCGCGTTCTGTCAACTGTACCCAGCAGATGCAGTCAACCCTAAACCCTCAACCCTTTCTTGAGCACGGACTTGGAGTGTATGCCGGCAGCGAAGCTCTAGGGCAGAGCCTTCTCAGCCACCTTAGACCTAAACCCTGAACCCTAAACCCCGCAAAACCTAAAACCCAAACCCTCAACCCCCCTAAAACCTAAAGCTTAGTTGAATTCTGAAGCAACCGGAGTCGAAAGAATTCTGGTTGACAGAAACTCCCAAAGTTGATGAAGAAGGCTTCGACCGGGAAAGACAGGCCGGCAGAAAGAGAGAGAGAGAGAGAGAGAGAGAGCGAGAGAGAGAGAGAGAGGGAGGGAGGGAGGGAGGGAGGGAGGGAGAGAGTACAAGTAGGAAAGCTTGTGCACCCCGGGAGCTTCCAACAAAGAATAGACAGACTTTTTCGGCAGTGCTGGCCCGAAACCTCAAGCTGCGCAGCTGCGGTGCAGAGCTGCCGACAGCGGAGCTCTAGAGCCTGAAGCCAAGGCATGCTTCAACCAAACAACGCTTGCGCTTCGTGCGTCGTGCTCGAACATTCTGACGGCCTGTAAAGCCTCTCCATCGTGAACTGCCTCCATACATCCAATAGGCAGGCATTGCCGACACTACCGAGCTTGTTGATTTGCTTGCCTGCCTTAGGATCGTCCAGTCCTCGCCAGTCTATAGAGTCTCACTTGAAGCTGATGTCAATCTTCTTTCAAACTCACCACTGAAAGTACGAAGCTCCGCCAAGCACAGTGCCTAGGCTTGAGATCGTTTTGTGTGGAACACGCGGCAGAACAGAGTTTCATGCAAGCGGACCGTGTGCTAGTCATAGTCAGAAGCATTGTCACCATCATCACCGTCATTATCTTGACCAGCCACTAGCTTTATGATATCACTCTTCGATGCACAGCAACAATCAGAAGAATAATGGCAGCCATACGTGTGGTTTCTCACAATGGCGACAATTAGTCTTGCTGGTGATAGCGTAACTAGTACCACTTCACTGCGGCTCTCCACATCGCGGCTAAACTTGCTCTCCTGGTTGTGACCCCGCTTAGCCAGCAAAGTTCATGAGTCATATTCCGACAAAAATTCATCTACCAAGGAGAGGTATGTTGTTGTTCCGGTTTAGTAGATTTGCTTTGTCACTCGGATGGCGATGATCAGCGGCAGACTTGTTATGCCTAGGATCGGAAATGCTTCCGAGCACCGCTCGAACACCTTTGCTTCCCCCCAGCGCAACGTCCAAGTTGACGCCTCAGTCTAGATCCTAAGCCCTCCAGTCCCGTACAAAGACATGACCTACCTGAAGACCTGAAGTAACGTGCTGGAGCAAGGCGCGAGATGCGAAGGAAACCTTAGCCTATGAGAGCTCCGTTGCAGCCAGTTTTGTTCCTCATAGGAATCTTCTCCTTACATCCAACTTCTAACACACATCACCTTGGGCGACGATCTATCCAAGCCTACAGCTGCTTCTGCAGACTCGGTCGCTGCAAGCTCGGAAGCACCACAGATGGATCCGAGATTCGAGTTCACTCTCTTCCCTATCTGCATACTGGTGAGTTTGAACTGGATTTGCCGAAGCAGCCTTAGCCTTTAACTAGCGCTGAGTACGCTAAATCGAGACACCGGATGTAGGAGAGAAAGAGAGAGGGAGACAGAGACGTTCCATCTCTGAGCACAGGTCCCGACATAGCTCTAACATTTAAAAACTCGCTCATTCAAGCTCCCCGGTTGTCTGCGATTGCAACCGCGTGCTTCATCTGCTGGTCACTTTGCGAGCAGCCAGAACGCTCCTGCGATGCAGCAAGGCACACACACACACACACATATATGATCCCGGTTCTCGGTTCGCCGAACCCCCCCCCCCCCCCCCCCCCCCCCCCACCCCCCCCACCCACTCCCCAAGCCAAATCGGTGTGACTGCGCACAACTTTTTGCACATGCGGGCCCCAAAACCGTCATCTGTCACGAGGATCGCGCCCCAAAGACGCCGGATCCGTGTGAGGCCGCCAAAGCCGCCAACTGTCACGAGGACTGCGTTCCCTGACAGGCCCGATCCCTTTGACAGTTGGCGGATTGCAACCTTTTGGCAATTGCCCCCAAAGCGACAACTGCCACGAAGATAGTGGCCCTACGATCAACAAAGCGATAATCAGTACCAGGCACGTGGGCAGAAGACCCCCGACGACAAACCAATCAAACATTAAGATGCTTCAGTTAATGATGATGGTGATCATCGTCCCCATCATCATCTTTATTATTATCATCATAGGGATGAGTATACCAAACACCCAAAGCAAACCTACAAACCTAAAAACGCAGGGGCACACCATTCCGCAGGGGGAAAGGGGGGAACCACCCCAACCAGACCCACCCCCGCCCACGCCACACCACACCACAGGGAGGGGGAAGCAACCCACCACCACACCACACCACACCACAGGCGGGGGGATGGGGAGGAACCATTGGGGGGGGAGGGGGGGGGGGACGGCCGAACCGGGATCATATACACCACCGGGCCGAAAGTTTCGACATGCAGCTTATAACATACATGTATGCCGCGGAGAGGCGGAGAGCCCTAAGACCCATTTTACGTGGCCAGCGTGGCGGAGTAATTACTTTCCGGGAATAAATTTATACTACTATATAGTTTCCGGCGGAGAGCTTTGCGGGGTTCTGCTAGGAGTCTACGGGGGAAAAGGGGTCAACATGTGAGGATCTCTCAACTTCATGTTGTATGGCGAACTTTCGTCCTGCGGTAGTATTGCCTGGCTTATGGCTTTTCCACACGGGTTCAGACTGGTTCAGACTCACGAAAGCATGTGCAATGAGAAGCCGAGCGCCCCACCCTGTGAAAAATCCTCCGTTCTGCTGGCGGTCTTGGTCCATTACCCGGCTGAGGCACGGGTTGGAGTACCGCAGGTGGGTTCGCGAAGACGGGCCTCAACAGTCGGTCGATCTGCGCTTGAGAAGAAAGTGCATGAAAGGGACCAGCGGCACATGTGTGTAAATGATCACCGCGTCTATAGCTGTGAACTTCTGGTGAGTTAACCGTTGCTAGCTCACCCCCCACTTCCAACGGAAGCGTGAGCTCCGTGCTGCGGAGCTCCAAATCGCCTGATAGCGCTCCCTCACCGTGAGCAGGCCCTGCGAGAAAGGCATCAGGACACGGGCTCCACATATTGCTTTCTCTGCGCATGATAGTCATATTGGTCATAGCAGCTGTTCTTGGCCGTTGTGTGATGGAAGTCGCTGGGAACAGGTGCGACGAACGCGCGCGACTCTTGCGCTGTCACCGAAACCACTGTAAACTTTGCCAGTGAGAAAAGCCTTCGTTGGGCAAGTGAGACATGAGCCACTAGCACGAAGTGGGCACTCAAAATGCCAGCGAACCTGACAGGAACATAGTACCCCACTGCAGTGTTTAAAACTATCGAATTCGCGCTGGACTGTTCAGGAGCCAAACTGCACTATTAAGCGATCATTGGCTCTCATGCACCGCAGGCTCTGTGCACTCTCCTCCTCCTCCGACTTTCCGGCTTCAGCAGCTTCAGCTTGCGAGGGGCGCCCCCGTAGTCACCACCAGAATTTGAGCTCCCCCAGGGTACGACTTGGCCATCTTTGAGCACGGCAGCAAATGCCCCTCTGGTGGATTGGATCTTTGAGACCCCCGCTTTCAGCCGCTCTTGGACTGCACTGCTGTCCCCCCCCGCATGGGTCGCACCCCAAGTCACCACAGTTCCATCATCACAGAGAGCGGCAAAGGCCGCACCACTGGCCTGGAGCTGCCGGACCTTCTTGAGCTCAAGAAGGCATTGGACTCTGCTGGACATTTCACCACCACAGAGTGGGCAGCCCCAAGTCACCACCGAGCCATCACCCCGCAGAGCAGCGAAGGCCGAGCTGGAAGCCGAGATCTGCTTCACATCTCTCAGTTGCGGATTCACGGCGGAGCTGTCGCCTCCATTTGCGGATTGCCCCCACGTCACGACAGAGCCATCAACCCGCAAAGCTGCGAAGGACTCCTGTGCGGCCTGGATCTGCTGGACATTTACTAGATGATCTTGCACATGGCTGCTACAGCCACCTGACTCCGAATGGCCCCAAGTCACTACGGACCCATCAGAAAGGACAGCTGCAAATGCAGAGCCTGTGGCTTGGACCTTCCGTGCATTCTTGAGTCTATCTTGCACATGCCAGCTGTCGCCACCATAAGATGGGTGGCCCCAAGTCACAACACATCCATCCAAAGTCACGGCAGCAAAAGCTGCCCCAGAGGATCGAATACTTTCCACCCTCCTAAGCTTGCTTTGCACTGCAGAGCTGTCGCCCCCGTAAACCGGATCGCCCCAGGTCACGACAGAGCCATCGCACATGATCGCAGCAAAAGCGGAGCTGGAAGCCTGGAGTTCTCGCACAGGCGCATCGAGCTGTCCTCTCACAGCATCGCTGTTGCCGCCATACTGGGGGTCACCCCATGTGACGGCTGACCCGTCTCCCAGGATAGCAGCGAAGGCCCCGTGGGTGGCCTGGATATGCTGAACATCTTTCAAACTGTTCTTCACTGCGCTGCTGTCGCCACCGTACCGGGGGTGACCCCAAGTCACGACGGAGCCACTCTGCAGGATGGCAGCAAAGGACTCATGACTGGATTGAATTGTGCGGACGTTCTGCAACTGCTGCTGGACTGCACTGCAGTCGCCCCCATGCAGAGCACTCCCCCATGCTGCGACTGAACCATCGCCCAGTACTGCTGCAAAGGCGCGCTCTGATGCTGCGAGACAGACTTCTCGGGTTAGCAGAGTCAACACACCCCCCTGCTGCAGACCTGCTTCACTGATACTCATTCCTCCCCGCAGAACTTCTCCAGAGCTGCTCAACAAACAAGCTCGACTAACGCAGAGCAACCGCTGTGCCTTCTGCCTTAGTTTCTCCATGGAAGTGTCCAGATTTGCTTTGAGTTGTGCCCGCTTTCCGTTAATCATTGCCACTTCGAGAGAGATGGACATGACGTCCAGTATGCCCCGTTCTTGGCAGCCTCAACCTGTTCTCCACATCGGTTCCGGAGAGTCCAGCTTTTCGTGGGTCTCCATCTTCACGGTTTGAAATCTAGCAATGGAGAGCCGAAACAGGGCAATCGAGCAGAACAGAACTCAAGGTTAAACATCGAAGCGATGTCGCAGATCTCGCATCAAGCCGAGGGGCGTGAAGGCGTCGTGCGGGGCCGCTGTGAAACTACGCCGTATGGACGCGAGCCTTGCCATGCAAAGACATCTAGGGCCCATCCGAGCTGTGCAACCACTCCGCTGGCCCCCCTCTTAAACTTCATCGCTGCCTCCGCGAGTCTGCCCAAACCTGGCCACATTCTGTCAGGCGTCGCAGTGCAGCAGTGCAAGGCCTCAGGCCTCGAGGAAGGCCGTAACTGCTCCACGCCACAGCTTGCGAAGAAAGCCTGGCCTTCAGCTGCGGTACTGTGCGTTCTGTCAGCTGATGCCGCCACAGCGCAGGCCTTCGTGAACCTCGCGCTCTCCGCGCTGCTTCTCCTAAGCCGGCTTTCTCGGGGAACATGCAAGCTTGAAGTGGGAAAGATCCCCGGTCTTGTGAAGTGACTACAGTTTGCACAGCAAGCGCCCGTGGCCCGAAGCGACAGCGGATGGGCCCTCGGCGGTCTCGCCAAAACGTCTCCGGGCCACCTCGCGGGCGGCCTCCGTCCTTCCAGCCTGCACGGGTGCACAACGTGCGCCAATCTCGAAACAGCGCTTCCAGTCAGCACCTGCGAGGCTTCGAAGACCTCCTGGCGATTTCGAGCAGAGAGGGCTGTCTTAAGCTGCATGCAGTGCGGCCATGCATGTCTCATTCCTGCGGTGCTGGCACATGCTGCTACTAGCAGCCGGACTTGGCTTGTGGAAGGCTCTCCATCTTGTCATCTTTGAAAAGAGGTCGAAGCCACTTTTGCAGCTATCCTGCAGCCGACCGAGCTTTCCCAGACGGCTCCATGTCCTGAGTCCTCTTCACTAGATTGAATGCCTGTCGGTGCCAGCACCTTGAATTGCTATGCACTGACATGTTCCAGATTTCGCGTTTCACAGGGGCCTGGGCCAGATGGGCCTCGGGATGGGCCGCCGGGCTGTCGCAGAGTGCTACGTTTACGTTTCATGGCATTTCATCGTCATTCCTCGTCGTGGTTCGCTTGAAGTACGGGCACCAACCGCGTTTCAAAATCTCTCATCTTCCTGTCACGACATCCCACCCCACGCAAGAAGAGCACCGCATGCTCCTGGGTAGTGCAAGGGCCACGCAAACTGCTCGCCGTGACCTCGGTCCCACACCAGCTCTGGAAAGGGAATCACTCTTGCTGTGATCTTTCCAGGTGCCCTGCTATACCCCAAGAGACGGCATGCCCCGGATCTTCTTGGGGGTCTCCGCGTCCAAGGCCCATTTCAGGAAAGGACACCAGCGCTTGCGAAGCTGTTTCTCGTATTCTGAATTCTCTGCTCAACACGGTTTCGTCCTAAAGCAGCCAGCAACAATCTTGCCCTGGTTGGCAGAGGGTAGATCCTCTCAGCAAGGGGGGCGTTGTTGGTGTGACTGTGTGGGTGTGTGTGTGTGTGTGTGCGCACAATTGTGTGCACTTGCCGCGTGTGCCCCACTTGCCAGAATGCATATGTGCCTGTCTTCTACCACGCATCCGTTTACCCGTTGCAGGATGTCATACGGCCAAATGCTGCAGACCAGGCAATCAAACATAGGACAATGAGACCCTTTAACCGCAGCAACGTGGCATGTGAACGTCCGAGTTCAGTCACTGACAGTATCTGACAGTTACAAGCTCGGGCACTTTGCAGTCGAGAGCAATTATTCTAAAGCTCTTCATCCTGAGCCGACGCAGTGAGAAGCTTGAAACACATCCACTTGTTTTGGCCTGCGCCCCGCAGTGTCCGGATCCCCTTGTTCCCAGCAGACCTTGCAAGGCCTTGGCCCAAACATGTGTGAGCGTTGCCTTGCGTGGTCTCGTGAAACGGACGTCTCGACATCAAGCCTCCAGAGTCGCACAAGATTTCACCGCAAAAATCGCAGGCGATCACAGGCTCTTCTGATAATTGAAGGGTCTCAGTCTCAGTGCGTCATGCAGAAGGCACAGCACGGCACCTCGCGGTACACTTCCCTGTGACCGTCCCAGCTCGAGGGGTCAACCTTTTGCAAGAAGTTGTCTTACATGTTCTAGCATGGCTAGAGACAAACATCATCTCCATTCATCCCTTGCAGAGACGATACTTCTTGGCCCCGAACTGGCGGCTGAAATGCATCTGTGTTTGGCATACCTCTGCGGACTCGAATTGCGACAGCTTCAGGCAACAATGCAGCAGGCAAGGTGGTTCACACGTGATCGTGACAAGCTGCGAAGTGCAAGCGGGTGTTCTCTTAGCCTGATCTTGCACTTTGTCCTAGTATGTCAAGATGATAGACGTCCAAAAAGGACACGAACCGAGTTAAGAAAGTGGCTTTCGGCGCACTGAGAGCAACCTTCCAACGAAGCTCTCCCCTGAGGCCTGAGGCCGCTGCCAGCATCTTGCGGCCACGGCCACCACTCCGAGAATCCCTCGCCTTGAAATCCTCCGATGGCGGCGAGAAATCGACATCAGCGGTGTTAGGCTCCGGAATCCCGTGCTACCGGTAAATTGACGCTCAATAGCGACCTGGGAAGCCCCACCGAGCGAACCGCCTCCGTCTGTGTACATCATGGAACTTTCCGGCCTAAAGCAGGTGAGTTCTCTTGTCATACCGAGGCCGGCTACCAGTAAAGGCGTCAGAGATCATCAGCAATACATTTGCAGGGTATGCCAGAAGTCTCATAGCTGCATGCTGGAAAACCCTTCCATTCTTCAGGTTCCGACTGAGGACCATCGAACCTCGCAGTGATGGTCGATTCAACCGCTGGACTGCGCGTGCCAGTTACTAGGATCTTCAGGATCAAATCCCCTCGCAGCAGCCCAAACAACTCAAACAACCGACCAACCTACCACAAAAGCAGCTCACTCGGACCGCAAGAACCAAACGGAAGGACAGACAAGTGATACACAAAAGGAAAAACGAGCCCGCAACCTTCTAGTCAAGTATGCATCGGAACCACAGTTTAAAGGCACAGTGTCAGCACTGCGCTTGTGTACATCACTTACCTGAGCAATCGAAAGATCTCAAAATGCCGACCACGTGGCGGGATCGTGCAGGGCTCCGGAGACCAAAGGTCGCAGGAAGGGCCCTGAATGGCGAGACGACATGCCCTCCGAAACGCGAAGACAAGCTTCGGCAGCGCAGCTCGCAAGGCCATCTGCTACCAGAACGACAGGGCAGTAGACGCAAGTGCCCGGTCTCCACCAAAAAACCAGAGGCTCGGTTCGTTGCTTAATCTGCAGCCCCGAGCCTGTGTCTGGAATGCAGGGGCCCCGCCAGAACTCAGCTGCGGCAGCGGCGGCATGGAAGACATTATCGCCTCGGGCATGATGTGCTCTCAGCTCTCGAGAAGCGGAAGCATTCACCTCTAGACTGAACTGATGTAGAAAAAACGATGTTCCCTCTGTGCCGTCGAAGTAGCATGAACCGCATGGAAAGCCGCCATGGCTGTGATTGCTTCCGCCTGACAGTGGCAGTAACGAACGTTCCAGGGGCCAAACTGGCTTTTACGCACTGCCGCACACTGCTCTAAGTGGCCTGGAGTTGAGGCGGAGCACGAGGCTGCATTGGGCGCAATGGCTGCGAGCTCTGGGCCGCGATGCTTGTACTCGCCTGATGTCCAGAATCAAATCGAAGAACGGCATCGGTCAACGCCTGTAGCGAAACTCGCATTGCTTTCCTTCCGGCCTGTGGAGACGGCAAGAAGTCAAACAGGCGCAGCGGAGCGATCCTTAGACAGCGTCGGGATTGGGGAAGCTCCAACATTCGAGAATCGACACCAGTTGCCGGCACGGTCTCAAGCGGAGACCGGATCTGCATGACCCCCTTGCACTAATTTTGCCTCGTCAGGAATCCTCCGAATCCCCTCCAGATCTCTCATGCAACACCCTGTTGGCTTGTGCTTCCCAGCTCGGTCCCCGACCCAGGCTCTGAGGAGCCGGGGCCAGCTTCGTCAGCGCCTACCTCCTTGTGCGCAAAAAGCATGCCTTTCTAACACAGCAGTTCTACGGCAAAGTTCTAGCCACGGCCGGCGGCCGGCGCCTCTGGGGCGAAATGCGGCGGTACCGTCTTCGGCGTGGCTTGAGTATGTGGCGTCCTGGCAAGTCCATCATGAGTCCAGATTGCTGCATGAAACTGAAGTCGCGAAAGACTGGATTTTAGGCCTGCGTGCTCGACGAGACCAATGAATATACAGGTTGTAAATGCCTTCTTGCATCTTGCAACATGATTGTGCCAGCAGCATGGGCGCACAAAATTTTGAAAATCGTGCACTGCAGCATCTTTGCATCCTGCTCTGATGCTCACGACACATAGTGCGACCCCCCACTTCACACACAAGCTTTCCGTCTTCCCGCACGCATGAACTGCGGGCACGATGCAACAAGCTCCTGACAGGACTCGCAAAGTGGATGAAGGTATTCTTCACCGGCAGCTGGTTTTCCTGAACATCGAGATTCGGGGACTAAGCTTCTTGCCTCTCCCTCTATCTTATTCTCCAAGGCATAGAGGGCGAGCAAAGCCCCCCGGACCTTGGTCCCTCTTTTTTCTTTCGCGAGGATAAAGGAAGAGGGTCCACACTCTTTCTTTCGCCAGGGCTATGGTGTAGGGGTTTGAGCCCCTACACCGCGCGCATGTGCGCCCCCGACTGTTGCGGAGGGGATGTTATGGCGGACTCTCTCTCCCTCTCTCTTCTTCATGAGGGCTTGGGAGGCGTGCGAAGCCCCCCCAGCCACATGGGCCCCCATTTGTTATGGGGCTTTTGGCGGGGCGTGAAAAGACGAGCGAGTCCCCCTGATGCACAGTTGTGATTACAGTACAAGTCCCCCTGCATGACATGATTTACAAACAGCTTGCCTCCAATATTTCTATTACATGATGAAACAACAGCCTCGCTCGCTCGCTGCTGGGCTAGGCGAACCCGGGCCAATGCCCCCCCTTTCTGCCGGGCAGGGGGGTCGTGTGCGAGCCGCAGGCTCTTGGCCGGCCCGGCAGCTCTCTCTGTCTCGCTCTTCTTCCGCAGACATTCGGCTGACAGCGATGATGTCGTTGTAGTGGCCAGGAACGCTCATGCTCAAGGAAGCAATCGGAGCAGTACTTGCCGATGTTTGTAATGCCAATCTCAATCGTTAGTCCAACTTCCCGCACGAGCACTGTCGGCTTCAATGGCGAAGGGTGAGTTACCTGGAGAAGGCCTGCTGACCTTGCGCCAAAGCCTAGCTACATCAGCGACACGAACACCGACTTGCCTTGGCTGAGTCATCGCTGGCTTCATCGAGGTGTCCTGACTGTGAGCTCTTGCCGCTCTAGACCGGACCTAAACCTTCAACATGCCCCGGTTTCAGCACAAATGGAGTGGTTATGCGACATGTACTACATCTTCTCAGTGTTGAGTTTGTGTTGAGGACATCGGGCTCGAAAACTTCACTTGCCATAGACGTAAACCTGCCGTCATGATGCATGAAGACGCGCTTGCCGTGTCCATTATGAATTCCAGCCGAATGCTTCCAATGCCGACGACTACGAGATACATGGACGACAAAGCCTGAAAACAGCGTTCATGCATGACCTGTAGCTTACGTGCGGCAACAGTCCGACCCACAGCCACACCAAAAGACCGGGCAATTAACACTTCATTGAGGGATCGCTCTTTGTGTAGTAGCACCTACGGCCCTGGTCCTTTGTCTGCCATCGGTGAAGCCCAGTCCAGGGACGTACGTGTGACCCGCCCTGGAAACTCTGAACTGACAATCTCCGTCACCCCCAATGGCCGTTGCTTGTTAACTGCATGTCTGCTAGCCTTTCATCCCGGCTATATTCTCAGCGGTAGAGGGCATGCCATAAGCCCTCTCGCTTCCCCCGAGCCCCAGCTGCGGAAGCGTCAGCAGAAGCTTGAAGCCAAAGGGCTGTGGAGAGGTGGGTCTTGCACGTGTTGCTACAGGTTCAGGCATGCAGACAGAACACGAAAAGGCATTCAAGCCCAATCGAAAATATTTCTCGTCATGCTCACAGGGAAGGTCGGATTGAAGTGTCGCATCTACAGTGGATGGCAAGCTCAGATGCTGCTGGGGTAAAGCATCACTCGACATGGGGCGCCGAAGGCCTTGGGCGGAATGTTCTTGACAAACTTGGCTCTCACAACGCCAGAATTTCCGTGGGAGCGGCGGACCTTGCCCCACATCACGCGAAACTTGGAGTGCTTCACCTCCTTCTTGGTCTTGTACACATAGGCAACCCTCTTCCCAATGTAGAACTGTGTGTCCTCCTTGGTACGCACTCCATCAATCTTCAGCAGCGTGCAATTGGCATAGCAGTTGGACTTGCTGCGCTTGTAGCCCAGGATCAAGCCCTTGGCATACAGGCGCACTGGCTGCTTGGTCTTCTTGACGAACTTCTTCCCCTTTGCCTTTGCCGCCTCGGCCATGGCTTGAGCTTGACTACTGCCACTTTCGGCCTCCCAGCTGAGCCAACCTTCCAGGTAATATACGATGCTCTGACAACAAAACTCCGAACAGTGGGCATTCCAATTGCTTCTCAAACGGCCGACACCTTTACTTACCAAGTCACCTGGTATGAGAAGAACCCGACTGTTGCCACAACTTGCCACAACCACACGCTCATGTAGCGCGGGCTAGCTCAGCTTTTTCAAGGGTCTGCACAGAGTACGAATGCACCACCTCGCATCACTGGCAAGCTCAGATACTGCTGGGGTAAAGCATCACTCGACATGGGGCGCCGAAGGCCTTGGGCGGAATGTTCTTGACAAACTTGGCTCTCACAACGCCAGAATTTCCGTGGGAGCGGCGGACCTTGCCCCACATCACGCGAAACTTGGAGTGCTTCACCTCCTTCTTGGTCTTGTACACATAGGCAACCCTCTTCCCAATGTAGAACTGTGTGTCCTCCTTGGTACGCACTCCATCAATCTTCAGCAGCGTGCAATTGGCATAGCAGTTGGACTTGCTGCGCTTGTAGCCCAGGATCAAGCCCTTGGCATACAGGCGCACTGGCTGCTTGGTCTTCTTGACGAACTTCTTCCCCTTTGCCTTTGCCGCCTCGGCCATGGTGGGTTCGAAGGTGGCGGCTCCGTGCACCCAAAGCCTACCGCTGTAGGCCAAACGAACGCACAACACCTCCAATCACTTGAACACAACCTGCACCAGCTGCGAAATCGTCGTGGGCCTAGCTACAAACGAGACGCTGCAGTTTGACTTTTTTCCAAGATGCTGTGCAATCGAAGGAACTTTTAGAAAATGTTGGCGTATGCTCGCTACGTGCTGCATCTTGCACTTCTCTTCTCTATGCGGACAGACATTTGGCTCTCCGAAATCTGTGCAGGCTGGCTTAGTACACACGCTTGGCTGGCGGGACATGGTGCATCTCCTTGTCCAGCGGCTGGTCGATCACCGAACGGTACTTCAACACCACCTTGGCATCCTCAACATAAGGCTTGTCTAGCCAAGACAGAGTGTGTTTCATCCAATTCTCGTCATCGCGATCCGGGAAGTTCTCGTGTGCATGTGCACCTCGCGACTCCTTACGAGCCTCGGCTGCATACATCTCTTGGGCGGCCTGGTTGATGAGGTTCTCCAGCTCTAGCGTTTCGATCAGATCTGTGTTCCACACCATGCTACGATCTGTGACACCCACGTCCTTGTACTTCTTCATCACCTCTGCGACGACACCCTTGCCCTTTGCCAGATCATCCGCATTTCTGTACACAGGTGCATGTTTCTGCATGGCAACCTGAAGCTCGCGTCGCAGAACTGCGGTCGGGATGGGGCCCTTGGCATGGCGCATCTTGTCCATGCGCTGGATGCTGGCCTCACCGGCATTCTTCGGAAGTGCCACTGGAGGGCTATTGGGCTTCACCAGCTCGGCGGTAGTGTCGGCCGCTTGACGGCCGAAAACCACCAGGTCCAACAGGGAATTGGCCCCGAGGCGGTTGGCTCCGTGCACGGAAGCGCAGCCAGCCTCGCCGGCCGCAAACAAGCCTGGCACGATCGTGTTCTCGGCATCACGGACAACTTGCGTCTTCCAGTTCGTGGGAATTCCTCCCATGTTGTAGTGCACCGTCGGCAACACCGGAGCCGGCTCCTTCGTGACATCAACCCCCGCAAAAATCTTGGCAGTTTCGGAGATCCCCGGCAATCGCTCCGCCAAAGTCTCTGGTGGCAGATGGTCCAAATGGAGGTAGATGTGATCTTTGTCGGGGCCCACACCGCGGCCCTCACGAACCTCCAGGGTCATGGCACGGCTCACAACATCACGTGAGGCCAGGTCCTTGGCCGTTGGCGCATAGCGAGCCATGAACGGCTCGCCCTCACTGTTGCGCAGGATGCCACCCTCCCCACGGCAGCCCTCTGTCAACAGGCAGCCAGCTGGGAAGATGCCTGTAGGATGGAATTGCACAAACTCCAGGTCCTGCATCGGCAAACCTGCACGCGAAGCCATAGCACTGCCGTCGCCAGTGCAGGTGTGTGCAGACGTACACGACTGGTACGCGCGCCCGAAGCCACCCGTCGCGATGATGGTAGAGTGCGCCCCGAAGCGATGAATGGAGCCGTCCTCCATGCACATTGCAAGGCAGCCGAGACACTTGCCATCGTCACTCATGATCAAATCCAGGGCAAAGTACTCGACAAAGAACAAGCAGTCGAACTTTAGGGCCATGCCGTACAGCGTATGCAGAATGGCATGGCCGGTTCTGTCAGCTGCCGCGGCACATCGGTAAGCCTGCCCGCCCTTCCCGAACTTCAGGCTCTGTCCACCAAAGGCTCGTTGGTAGATCTTGCCTTCTGGGGTACGGGAGAAGGGCAAACCAAAGGACTCAAGCTCCAAAATCACTTCGGGAGCAAGTCGGCACATGTGCTGGATGGCGTCCTGATCGCCGAGCCAGTCGGCTCCCTTGACAGTGTCATAGGCATGCCAGCGCCAGTCGTCCTCGGTCATATTGGCCAGCGCACCATTGATGCCACCCTGCGCCGCCACCGTGTGCGAACGGGTTGGGAAGACCTTGGAGATACAGGCTGTCTTGAGACCATGTCCGACTAGGCCAGCAGCCGCACGAAGCCCTGCACCGCCCGCACCGATGACAACCGCATCGTAGGAGTGGTCGAAGACTTCGTAGCCTCCGATCTGGGTGGTTGTGACCCCACGGGCGCTGGGGAGACGCCTGGCCGCCGCGGCAGCCGAGCGGCCCGGGTTCAACACACGGGACAACATGATGGCGGCACAGCTATGCTTCCTGCAGAGCCAGGGTTGCCCTCCGAACCGAGTTGCATACAAGCTTGGGCTTGATCGCATGTCGGAAGCCAGCTCATTTTCCGCAGCGCTGCAGACGCATCGTGCATGCACAAAAGCTGTAGACGGTCATTTAAAATCTCTCTGTCAATCGCCTACAAACTTGCAGAGAGTGCTTCTCTACCCGGACTTCTCAAAGCAAAAGCAGGACGACAGCAAACAATGCGCCGTCGAGCTCGCTTAGTACACACGCTTGGCGGGCGGGACATGGTGCATCTCCTTGTCCAGCGGCTGGTCGATCACCGAACGGTACTTCAACACCACCTTGGCATCCTCAACATAAGGCTTGTCTAGCCAAGACAGAGTGTGTTTCATCCAATTCTCGTCATCGCGATCCGGGAAGTTCTCGTGTGCATGTGCACCTCGCGACTCCTTACGAGCCTCGGCTGCATACATCTCTTGGGCGGCCTGGTTGATGAGGTTCTCCAGCTCTAGCGTTTCGATCAGATCTGTGTTCCACACCATGCTACGATCTGTGACACCCACGTCCTTGTACTTCTTCATCACCTCTGCGACGACACCCTTGCCCTTTGCCAGATCATCCGCATTTCTGTACACAGGTGCATGTTTCTGCATGGCAACCTGAAGCTCGCGTCGCAGAACTGCGGTCGGGATGGGGCCCTTGGCATGGCGCATCTTGTCCATGCGCTGGATGCTGGCCTCACCGGCATTCTTCGGAAGTGCCACTGGAGGGCTATTGGGCTTCACCAGCTCGGCGGTAGTGTCGGCCGCTTGACGGCCGAAAACCACCAGGTCCAACAGGGAATTGGCCCCAAGGCGGTTGGCTCCGTGCACGGAAGCGCAGCCAGCCTCGCCGGCCGCAAACAAGCCTGGCACGATCGTGTTCTCGGCATCACGGACAACTTGCGTCTTCCAGTTCGTGGGAATTCCTCCCATGTTGTAGTGCACCGTCGGCAACACCGGAGCCGGCTCCTTCGTGACATCAACCCCCGCAAAAATCTTGGCAGTTTCGGAGATCCCCGGCAATCGCTCCGCCAAAGTCTCTGGTGGCAGATGGTCCAAATGGAGGTAGATGTGGTCTTTGTCGGGGCCCACACCGCGGCCCTCACGAACCTCCAGGGTCATGGCACGGCTCACAACATCACGTGAGGCCAGGTCCTTGGCCGTTGGCGCATAGCGAGCCATGAACGGCTCGCCCTCACTGTTGCGCAGGATGCCACCCTCCCCACGGCAGCCCTCTGTCAACAGGCAGCCAGCTGGGAAGATGCCTGTAGGATGGAATTGCACAAACTCCAGGTCCTGCATCGGCAAACCTGCACGCGAAGCCATAGCACTGCCGTCGCCAGTGCAGGTGTGTGCAGACGTACACGACTGGTACGCGCGCCCGAAGCCACCCGTCGCGATGATGGTAGAGTGCGCCCCGAAGCGATGAATGGAGCCGTCCTCCATGCACATTGCAAGGCAGCCGAGACACTTGCCATCGTCACTCATGATCAAATCCAGGGCAAAGTACTCGACAAAGAACAAGCAGTCGAACTTTAGGGCCATGCCGTACAGCGTATGCAGAATGGCATGGCCGGTTCTGTCAGCTGCCGCGGCACATCGGTAAGCCTGCCCGCCCTTCCCGAACTTCAGGCTCTGTCCACCAAAGGCTCGTTGGTAGATCTTGCCTTCTGGGGTACGGGAGAAGGGCAAACCAAAGGACTCAAGCTCCAAAATCACTTCGGGAGCAAGTCGGCACATGTGCTGGATGGCGTCCTGATCGCCGAGCCAGTCGGCTCCCTTGACAGTGTCATATGCATGCCAGCGCCAGTCGTCCTCGGTCATATTGGCCAGCGCACCATTGATGCCACCCTGCGCCGCCACCGTGTGCGAACGGGTTGGGAAGACCTTGGAGATGCAGGCTGTCTTGAGACCATGTCCGACTAGGCCAGCAGCCGCACGAAGCCCTGCACCGCCCGCACCGATGACAACCGCATCGTAGGAGTGGTCGAAGACTTCGTAGCCTCCGATCTGGGTGGTTGTGACCCCACGGGCGCTGGGGAGACGCCTGGCCGCCGCGGCAGCCGAGCGGCCCGGGTTCAACACACGGGACAACATGATAGCGGCACAGCTACGCTTCCTGCAGAGCCAGGGGTTGTCATGTGCCGCAAGGATCTAGAGAAGCAAGCACGAAGCGAGACTTAGAGCGTCAGCATGCCACGGCGTCTGAGTTTTCCCTCAGCTAAAGGTCAAGGGGCTGAAGTGCAGGCTCTCACCGGTCTTGGGATCTGCCGTCTTTGTGGCAGCTCCAAGACATGGTCTCTGACTACAAGCCCCTTTTGCAAGGTTGAAAGTTAGCACTGGCATGCTCGATACGAGCTTCAGTCTACAAGCTGTTGCAGGAGGCGCAGCCCGTCGTGCTCCTTGTGTCGTAGGGCAGGACCATCCACCACATGCTGCTCACGTGTCGAAAAATTTCAGATTAAGGTCCTTGTCTTGTTTGCCAGATGACCGTCAAGCAGCACAGCAAACTTCTACGAGAACAATGAATGGCAGCGCAAAGAGACGATGCCGAGAACATCCGTCACTGGACGCAGCAGCAGCCACCTTTGCCTTCACGTGGTTGGAGCGTGCAGCACAGGTATGAACTGCACAGCAGCCGTGTGGTATGCACATGTCATCCTTTGTCGAATCAGCAATAAACAAAAACTGAAGCGTCCCGGAGATGGTCACAACATGCACATTATGACTCATGAGATGCTGTTTTGCAGGTGTGCAGGGGCCAGCCTGCTGGCTTTGCCGACTGCCTTACAGACAGTTGCATAGCAAGAACACGAAGCTGTTCCTCTGCTGGGGCCCGCGCTGAGCGCTTGCAGGTGTGGCGCCACCCTTCTCCTCAAGCTCGAAAGAGCTGGGAATCTGCACAAAAAATCTTCCATCTCCGTGGGTGCTGAATGCAGCCTCTGACCGGCAACACGTTGGAAATACATCCCCGCCACATCTCTCTCACCACGGCACAACCGGCCCAGGGTCCTGCAGGAGCGGTTCCTGGCTGAAGGACCGGGTCAGTTGCAGACGCCGTCACAGTCTTCTTGTGTTGTCTGAGGGATGTGCAGAAGGTCAATCGTGATGGTGGTGCTTTCGCTGCTTCTTCCGCTTGGTGCCGGTAGTCTTGATGCTTGTTGTGATTCCTCCTGGTGTTGTTGTAAGTTGTCTGATTATGGCTGTTGAGGTTGCTGCTGATTTGTTGATGATGATGCTGGCGGTGGTTGTGGTGAACTATGCCTCGGGTGCTGGTGGCTGTCAGCGTCCCGTTATCGCGGTGGTCGCGACAAACAGTGGAAGCAGCGGGGAGATGCTAGTAACAGTCACCACGATACCAAGAAAGGCGGACATGAGCGTCCAGCGCCAATGTTTCCTGATTTTTCTTTGACAACCCCGGTATTCCGGAACAGGATCAATGATTTTTACCCAAGCTCATCTCAAAGAGCCGACACAACGCAATGCAGCACCGTCCGGCCGGACCTTGGCCTCTCTCTCTGCAGGACGCTCCTGGGCGCGGCGTTTACCCCACTTCCCCGGTGCATATATAGTCAGTGCATCCCCGGGTCCTCGTCCGGGACCGCGCCACCCTGGTAAGCTGCCATGTAAGAAACGACGGTGTTTTATTGAATATCTTGGAAGCTGTTGTTGCAAGCTCAGCCCTGCCCCCGACATAGGAGGGCAGCAAAAGGAGCATCGAGCACCAGCCAGACGAGCCCCTTGTTAGTGCCTACATTCTACATATACACCAGCAGGGCAGCAGCAGAATGAAGGCTGGGCCATGCCCCACAGCCCTACCAGGTGCTGCCGACAACACACGCATTCACGACAATCCCACCGTGCGGCGCACCTGCGCCAGAGGCTTCTCCACTTTTGAGGAGTCCTGCTGTTGCCAGGCACTCAGTTGCAGTCAGCATATCGCAAGTCACGAAGCTTCTGCCACTGCCCTTCATTTGTCAAGTTTCAGCACTTCCTGGGCAAGCACATGAGTCACTGCAAAGAGCCAGCTCACTACACAAATTTCCGTCACAATTGCCTCAGACCCAAAATGTCCACTCTTCAAATGACCCAATCCAAACAATCCGAAGACCTAACAAAACCCCGGCCGATTCCCGCAATGTGAATCTTTTGCCGGCACTGTGATTGCATTGGGGTTCACAGCAGTACCTCGGAATCTGAAGCCCCCCTTGTTCAAGAGGACTGCTGACATGCTGCCTTTCACACAGCACGGACAGTCACAGTCAACACTTGGCTCTTGAATGACCGTGCAGTCCACGGTAAAGGGTTCGTTCCGACCATGCCAGCATCTTTTCTGGGTGGGTTTATAGGGAGGGAAGAAAAGTCTGAGGCTCCCACGGCTGTGTGACATGGATGACTTCATTTGTGCGGCATAACAAGCTCATTCTTCGCATGTATTGCTCACACAAATTTCCGTCACAATTGCCTCAGACCCAAAATGTCCACTCCTCAAATGACCCAATCCAAACAATCCGAAGACCTAACAAAACCCCGGCCGATTCCCGCAATGTGAATCTTTTGCCGGCACTGTGATTGCATTGGGGTTCACAGCAGTACCTCGGAATCTGAAGCCCCCCTTGTTCAAGAGGACTGCTGACATGCTGCCTTTCACACAGCACGGACAGTCACAGTCAACACTTGGCTCTTGAATGACCGTGCAGTCCACGGTAAGGGTTCGTTCCCAACGTTGCCTACTGACACCCAACGCAGCATCTTTTGTTAGGCATCTTCGTCAGACTCAATCGCTCTCAAGAAAGCCGCGTTTTCGATGACATCTTCGTCAACATACTTCAACACCGCCTGACTCCTCCATTCTCCAGCAGAAAGGACTTGAGGCAGAGTGTGGCCTTGTGCCATCATGCAAGTTGCCTTCCCCGCCCGGAAGGCTTTCCATGTATACCTGGAGGGTCCGGCGATGC